CGCAAAACTCTGCATTTGAACAGTCAATAGCAAATACTTAAACTAATAACAAAACAGTAACTGATTCAGAAGCGCAGATTGTCATAGCAAAGTCAGAATTACCTCCTCTCCTAGGTTCACGAAACGGTCGTTCATAAAATGCATTGCTGTTCTGTTGTAAGTGATCTTAAAGATTCCTAAATGCATCTACTTTCGGAAGGCCAAATAAAGTGCTTTTGCTTTCGTCTAGAAACACACAGCGTCTCCCTGATATGGCTGCTTCGACACTAACTGCAGTTACTGAAACCACGCCTCCTTTCTTTGCGTGCACATTTGGGAGGCATTATGCAAATATTTCCACATAGTGAGGTAGATATGTGGGGGCGTGTTAGAATGAGGCGTTTTAGGGGGGTGTGGCAGAGTCTTAACTTTGATAAAGAATATCTCTTTGGGTTTGAGACTTTAGTCTTTGCAACTTCAGGGATCTTATCTATGCACAATCAGCTTGTAACACTCCAAAGAGAAAGGAAAACTTGAAATCGCATCATATGACCCCTTTAACTATTTTTTTTGTGTTCACAAGTTTTCAGATGTTTTTGTTTCATAAAAGAATGGAAATAAAATATTGAACAACAAAGCACAAAGGTGAGGTGATCAAGATTGCATGCATTTCCTTCAGCATATATACACTGTACATCATGCCATCAGCAGAATGTTGCAAAAGGAGAAAACACAAGTTGCTATTTCTTCGACAAAGCAGAACCAAATTCTTTTAAGATGTTGCTACGTTCGCTTGCCACTTCCACTGCTTGCTTTTGCAGGTCCATGAGTTCTGACATCTGCCTCCTCTGCTCAGTGACATATTGCTCAAACCACTAGGGTGCTTCAGACTTGCGCCTTCTCTTTTTGCCATGTTCTGCTGATGGCTTAGGTTGTGAAGTTGATGATTGTGAAGTTGATGGTCCTGGGCCAACTGGATCTGATGAAGATCCTGAGTGGAAAGAAAGATTAAACTTGGTGGCCTCAAAATGGTAATGATCAAGGCAGCAAACATCACTTTCCTCCGACAAATACATTTTGGGATCTCACATGGCTGCATCTATTGTAATTTAGAGTCATGTGCCAACAAAGCTACTTTAAACATCCGGTTAACCAAGCTTCTAATTACCTGAGCCACACAATAGACATCCTTCAAATAAAGCTGTTAGCAACACTACCAAGTTACACAGTAAAAGTAGATGACAACATTGGAGCTACTTTGTATCCAACATGGATGCTAATGTGAGGCCTTTTTATGACATCACTGAGTGATTGAATTAAAACTTACAAATAAGATCCAATAATGTATAAGATTTTTATAAAAACATGAATATAACATTTTCTTTGATTAAACTGCACTCAACTCATCTGGTGTGCTAATGTATGTTGATGTGGCACAAAAACAAATTTGACATCAAATTTGACAAAAGATTATCACCAGCAAAAGATGACATGATCAGGACCGGCTCCACACTGGGATCATCAGCCAGGAGGTCCTCCATTGATGAGAAAAAGACCCAGCTGCTGGCACCACTCCCAGTCTTCTTTTTACTGTCCACTATTGTTTTGTATCTAATAATAGAAACACAGAAATAGCAAATGTCTTCAAGTGGCCCTACTCCCAAAATAATTCAAATGCCAGTATCAAAACAAACCTATGTTTCAACTGCCTGAACTTATTGTCACATGCCTCTGCTCCAAAGTCATATCCTTTTGCCAGCATTTGTGCAGCTACCTTTTTCCACACTTCTACTTTCTTTAATACAGGAGATTGAAAGTCTTCAGCCATTTGCTTTGTCAGAGAAATTAGAAGTAATGTTGCATTGTGCGTCCATGGCTTTGTATCTACAGCACACATTTAAATAGATAAGTCACAGAAAATATACCAACGGAAAAATTGTGCTAGGAATGAACTTAATGTACCTTTATGCATTTGTTGGGGGGTTGAGACTGGTGCCCACTTTGGAGCACAGGCAGGTGATGGTCCAGCAACAGACAAATTAAGTGGTGCAGGAGCCGGAGGCAAATGCAGTGGTGCAGGAGCCAACTTCTGTGGTGCAGGAGCCGGAGGCAAATGCAGTGGTGCAGCGGGAATGTGTAGGCCTAGTGGAAGTTGACTAGGCCCATTCGATGCACTAGCCTGTTCCAAAGGGATTGCTGAAACAGAAATGGAAGCACACATCTTACCAAATTCAGACTGAAAACACATCTATTTAGCCTCACATACTACTGACTAATTTATATTCTTACTTTTATTTCTAGTTCTTACTTTTTTAATACCTTGTATTTTCTTTCTCATTTTTATGTAAAACACTTAATTACCATTGTGTATGAAATTTGGTATCTAAATAAACTTGCCTTACAATGAAGCTAAACATATAAACAATTACATTATCATGTTGATATGCTATATTTTTACTATAAAACTCTTACGACAAACATGTCCTCTAACATCTTCAATTGTTGTGTATACCGAGCTGCAGCGGACACATTTGTAAACACTTTACTTGGACCCATTGTGTGAGCTGTCTCTTTAATACCGCGTGGTTTATATACATGTTGCTGCTGATTGGGCTGACATGTTTGACACGCCCACCAAACAAGAGAAAACTTATCTCAAACCCTGTTGCAAACCGTTGCACACCGTTTCCAGGAAACATGTCATTCAAAACGGAAACCATAGCAAAACGATGGACATCGGTTTGAGCTTGAACTTGCCCCAGGTAGCGATTTCAACGGGGGGATGCATAATCTGACAATGGTGCAGAATTCGGCACAAAACCTATTTGCGGGGTGGAGGGCGTTTCTGTTGTAGCAGAAATTGTGGCTTAATAAAGACACTATATTAGGTGTTTTTTATATACATCCGCTGTCAGACCGTTTGTTAATGTAGCCTAGGTTTAACAGGTTTTTGGGTGTTATTCATCATGTTCACTTTTCACTTACAGAATTAAGTTTGTTCTTTTTTCTCGTATTCTCATATATTTACTCATTCAGTATACAGCTAGGCTATACAATTCAGTATGGGTACGAAGTTTTCCTAGAATAAAAAAAAAAAATCTACATCAGTCCACTACGGAAGTTCTAAGCGGCCATGCATTATTTTTTTTCCCTTCTTGTTTTCTCGTTATAACGACTTATTTTCTCGTTATATCGACATAAGGAGAGTTGTTTTCTCGTTATAATGACTTAATTTTCTCGTTATATCGACATAAAAAAAGTTTTTAACAGGTGGCACTGTTGACCTGAATATAACTGATGGGGTGTTGTAGGCTATACTGTATCCACTTTACTGTACGCGTTTGGGATAGAATATGAACGACCTCGTGATCGCTATAATTTGTACAGTATTGTTCATTAGGCTACTGACATTTAATTCATTCATAAATGTTAAATGCTTGAATCAATATGACTATTTTGTGTATTAAGTTCTTGCTAGATGCATGAGTTTCACCAACGCGTTCTGTGTCATAAAATAATAACTGCTTATTAAAACCAAGGTTGACGTCACTGTATTCTGTTTGCACCTATATCTTTATTTGTGCTTCTTTGAGGTACATTATTGTTAGTTAATAAGCGGGGATGTTCTGTTTATCCACTGAAGCATAGGTTACTGAATACAATGCAACAGCAATGTAATGCCGATAGAATGAAGCCATTAACTCAAGTCACCTTTAGTTTAAAATGTATTTCCCTGGGTACATACAACATTTACACCATCACGTAAACAATGCGAACAAGTAAGATACACAATGTTATTTAAATAGCTAAAAATAATAATAGGCTAACAATACCGTAATAATGATAATAGTAGTAAGAATAATATTAAGTAGGCTATGATATAAAGTAAGTACAACATTAGATATTACAGTGCATTAATACAGATAAGTCTTATCTGTATTTATTCCAGAGAGTCGTGCGAACGGTTGTGGTTGTCAATGCAGAGCAGGTACGAAAGAGCTGACAATACCAAATAGTCAGAACTAGCAAAGTAGTTGTGAAATGTACAGTAAAGCACCAGCAGTAAAAAAAAAAAAAAGGCCTATATTACTATTTAATTAGAAAAAAAAAACTTTTGAAAAGACTTTGATTCCCTAAATTGTTCTAGATATGGCCATTGTTGTCACCCTAGACTGTTGTCACTGGAGAAAGAAAGAAAAAAAAAGGTTTACGTTGCAAGGGCCAATCCGGGAGCCAGAAACACGGAAGTGTGGAGAAAACTAATGCTCCGCTTCTTGAGCTGCTTCTCCTTTAGAGCGTTGCCGTATTCCGCACCACAGGCACACACCGCCATCTACAACTTCTCTTCTTACATGGATGATAGTTACCTCTCTATTCTTTCATTTCGGGTTCACACATTGCTGCATTCCTGACTGCTGCGCGTTCAGCCCCCATGCCAGAAATCCAGCTTGTGTGTTCCCATCTATATTTTTGTTTTAATTATAGTGTCTATACCTATCAAATTCATTAACTAGCCCCTTTTCCTTTAATAAGGTGTCAAAACCTTTGAACTCAAAGGCTTCTAAAACATTTAACATTCTTGAGTCTGTGGTAAGGTATCTTTAAAGGTTTTTTTCATTGTCGTCGATATTGTTTTGTGTAGCTCTAATGTGATGATGTCCGTTTGCCCCCTGTTACTTTTTAAATGTTGTAATATTTTCAATTGCAATAAAACCCACTATTTCACTATTATTTCCTGTTCTTCATTGTTGGATTTTAAGAGCAGCTTGCATCATTGATGTTGCACTACTGCCATCTTCTGGAGTTAATTCCTAAGCAACTTTTTTTTTAATTAAAAAGTAAATCAGGTATTTCCTTCCTTGTCCGCCCCGACGGACGCATTTTATGTGCACCTAATTTGTGATTACAAATTTGATTCACTTGACAGCAAATCCTATTGTTTTCATAACTCACAGAACACCAGCTTTAAATTCGATAACCTCTTTGTGCAATTTTAATGCAATATATGTCTTTCATTTTCATATGCTCTACAGTGTAGTAGGCTATAATAAGTTCAACTGTCTCTTCTTCATTGCAATGGCTGTACAATGTCCACAAAGGGGAACATTGCAAAAATAAATAAATGAATACATATATGTATTACTTTGTTATTATTCCTAATTTAAAATAATTGTTTTTGATCATTAATATTTATGGATTGTTACGCCTAGTTGGTAGAACAGTAGATAGTAGAGAGAGAGAGAGAGAGAGAGAGAGAGAAACATGAACTGAAGATTCCATGAACTGGAAAGTCATGATCCACTTGAGCTCCTAAATTTTTTGCAATTTTTTATCTTTAGAGTGAGGCAAGCCTAACAAAACATATATCAAACCAAAGGAAAAAGTGAGAGGAATATTAAGGTGACCGTGATAGCTGTACATTTCTTTGCTGCTTCTTCAACAAGACAACTAAAGAGCACTGAAACAGAAACAGAGCAATCAGGAGGACAACTGGATAAAGCAGAAGATACTGGAATCAGGAATCAGTTCACATCCAAATAACAGGCAAGACTGACTCTCCATCTACACTGCATTTGAAAAGACTATTACAACTTAGTGAGGCAGGACTAAAGTTATTTCAGTTCAGTTGAAATATAGTAAAGTACAGAAGACTAGTAGCAGTCTGAGAGTAACAGTTAAAAAGTGACAGTTACAGAAAAAATCAAAAAACAAAAACAATGGAAGCCATTGCAGGAGAGCCCCTCCACCACTCCATCACATACCCACAGACTATCAAGAGCGCGAAAGACAAGAAAACCTATAAATACAGCCTGCTGAAGAACAACCCAGAGACCCTCATGGCAGACGTTTCACAAAAAGGGGACAGAGCCATCGTCACTAATCTGCTCCTCTACACAGCAGACTGCAATCTTTGGCACACGGTCATCTGTAAACACTACAAAAGTTATAGAAAACTAGGCATCTGTAACGGCAGACAAATCCAAATTTATGAAGAAAATGACACTAACAAGGCATTTCTAACAGTAAATATCTACCATAATGGAATGATAATGTTCCAGGGGACTGAAGCATGCCTCAGCTCTGTCAAGGCAAACTTCACCATCCTAAAAGCTCTGGCAGAGGCTGAGAAACAAGCACAAGGAGCAAACAGTGATGCTGCAGGAGGCTGTGACGCCCAGAGCTCAGGGGAGAGGCTAGAGGAGATGGAGCTTAACCCCGCTGAACACGACCCACAGCTGGAACAGTCCGTCAATCAGATCAGAAACAGCCTCTCCCTACAAGAGGTGGAGCTGGTGGAGCTCAGGGAACTAACACTCTCCCATGCAATATCCAGCGAACGCCTACAACACCTGGACAATAAAATCAGTCACCTCACACGAGACTTTGAAACTAGTGTTGAGGAGCTAAAAAAAGAGATATGCAAACTACAGCAAGATAGAGAGACCATGAATAAAGAACTGGAAACACTCAGGCAGGAGCTGCTGCTCAGAGATGGAGAAATACAAAGCCTGAGAGAACAGACAGAGAGCCTCATAAAAGGGCTTAACCACACCAACCTGGTAGAGATTAAGGACCTGCTCAGACTTATATACACACGGCTGGAACAGTAGTTGTGAGTAAAAGACATACACACAATAATATATGTATATATGGGAAGGGCGGGGTGTGAGGCAGGGCTGTCCACTATCACCGATCCTCTTCAATATCTACATTAATGAACTGGCGAAACTCCTGGAACAATCAGCAGCACCTGGCCTCACACTGCATGACTCCAACATAAAGCTCTTGCTGTTTGCAGATGATCTGGTTCTGCTGTCTCCAACAGAAGAGGGTCTACAGCAGTAGAAGTTCTGAAGTTCTGTCAGACCTGGGCCCTGACAATTAATCCTAACAAAACTAAAGTACTAACATTCCAGAAAAGACCCAGAGTTCAGGGAAAGAGACACAACTTCACCCTTGGTGTGACCAAAATTGAAAATGTCACAAACTACACATACCTCGGGCTGAAGATAAATGCCACTGGCAAGCTAAATTTGGCTGTGAATGAACTGAAAGAGAAAGCAAGAAGGGCCTTTTATGCCATCAAAAAATCTATCCAAATTGAAATACCAATTAGAATCTGGCTCAAAATATTCCAATCAGTCATAGAACCTATAGCATTATATGGCAGTGAAGTCTGGGGTCCTCTCCTAAATCACGAATTCGAAAAATGGGACAAAAATCCGATTGAAGCCCTGCATGCTGAGTTCTGTAAGAGTCTCCTCAGAGTACAAACAGCAGATGGCGGTAATGCTCTATTTTATTTTGCAGTCCACTGTAAAGAAGAAAACCGTTAGAGTCTCCGCCATCACAGTCTTCTGCGTTTCGCTACAGTCTTTCGGATTTGGAAACGCAGACGTTCTTATTCTTCTTTAGTAGCGTATAAACCATTATCATTCAATCAATCAATCAAATTACAATCGGTATATCTCTCTTTTGGTATTTAGAGGGTTTTGTTAACAGTCGTCGCTGTAAGTCGAGTGGATGGGTGTGGTTCGGAAACAATCAACCAGTATAATAGCCATCGAAATCTAATTTTGCCGGAATCTTCAACATTATGAAGACCTTATTACATTTTTTTCTACTAATGTGCGGTAAGTGCGCGATTTAAATTTTTTTTTTTAATTACTTTCGGTTTCACTTTGACGTCGGAAACAGTTCAATAGATGTTCTCACATTCTTAAACTTCATTACATTATTAACAACTATATGCATCCAGATGAATATGGACATGCTCTCTTTCACTATTTGTAATTAGGGGAGAGAAGGGGCAGAAGTACCATTTTTCAGATTTAAAAAAATAAATATTTAGACAGATATATTTTTGCTGTGGTCAGTGGTCTATCAGTACCATGTGGTATTTATTTATTTATTTATTTAGTTTGTATAAATGTAAACGACTTTAGTATAGTTTCACTTTGAACATAGGTTGCACATTGTTACTTTACTCTGTCTTTCTGACCCTCACTTCTGGCATATTCTGTTGGTATCATACGACCAGTGGCGGAAATGGCCACTGGGGGACTGTAGCTTGGAAGGGGTGGAGGGGAGGGGTGATAATGTAAGCATTATTAATGAACTCTTGTGTTTAATAAAAAAGGCAGAATAAGCCCATTTAAAAAATAAAATAAAATTAGAAGCACTGTCAAAAATTTAGAAGCACCTTCTGATCAGTGACAAAAATTACTTTTTACATTGAGGCGATATTTGACTCCTTAAAGTGATCTGCATGGGCATCTTTGTAATGGCATTGCTTTTCTAACCTTATTAAATGCGTCCTCTTTTCAGTCAAATTTAAACATTTATATTTAGAAACCTTTAATGTTTTTAATGAAAACAATAAATTGTTTAAAAGACTCAGAAGTGCCATGTATGCATTGAATGCATTTAACTTCATAATAACACTGTTATGAGGTTACTGTTTTAAATATAAAGTATTAAATATAGAAATATCTGCTTTGTCTGTTATTCATTTTTTCAGCTAAATTGTCTAAATTTTAAATACAATATTTTTTTTACATTGACACTTCAAAACATACACTAATATTAATAAGAATGATTAAAAGTTATTTATACATTCTGCAAAGGTTTATCCAGTGGGCTTCTCTCCCCAGTGGGCTAAGATGGCCTCTTTAAATAATGTTTATTTTATTTGATTTATTTTATGAAAAAACTCTGTAGCATCGTATTGTGGCATGTCTCATCACTGCCTCTTTAGGATGTATGTTGCATTTCTCATGTGTAAGTAGCTTTGTATAAAAGTGTCTGCTGAATGAATGTAGAAGTAGCACATCCTCAAATTCTATTAACAGAAAACAGACTGGGGGACCAACTAATACCTTTTTAAGTAACCATAAAGTGAACAGAATTGTAAAAATCTCTTTCCACTTGAGTTTTCGTAAGCTACATTACCACTGTTTTTGACCCATTTAATATGACTATAAAATATGAACATTTTTTATTGTGATTATTAAATAAAAATATTAAACAATACGAAAAAAATATTGCCATACTACTATTGTACTGTAAAATAAGAGTACTGAATAAAAGTCATTTTATTACATAGAAAAAATAACTTTTCTAATATGTATGTCTTCATTTTAGACAGTCTTAAATTTAGGGATGCACTGATCTTGATTTATCTGTGATTTAAGTTGCCATTTGTATATACATGCAAATAGGCCTATTCTTATACTGATTATTTTTTTTGTTTGTTTGTTTTGTTTTGTTTGTTTATTTATTTTTAAGTAAGAGACCAGAAAGAATGAAAATATGAGTACATGAACAAGATATTTAATTGCTCTATTACAGGCCAAACTATATGTAACCATTTATAATTAAAGGCAACCCCTGCAAATTAATTTTGATCCAAACATGCATGTAGTGTAGGAAGTTTTTGATTTAAATTAGATTGTAAAACATTCCTGCATTAAACAAGAAGCAGCAGACGGGCTGAATGAGAGCGCAAATTCACTCTGTGACAGCAGGTGGCGCGTATGGAACAGCAGCGATATTAGCATTTCATTGGTTACCACTGTAAACAGCTGCACTGCGCTTATAAACACTAAATATGCATTATACATCGAAATAACTCTCATTAAGCCATAATACAATATAGATTTTATTGCAATATATTGTGCAGCCCTAATTGAAACGATTATAAGTAAATAATACATTAAAACATTAACATGTACAATGAAAAAAATGTTTCATTCATCCAATTAAAAAAAATAGGGTAATGCTCTTAGGGCAAGTTATTTATTTTTAATTTTTCAAGTTATAAAATATAGATGTGAATCATTACCCCAAATTTTTTTTTATTGGATGAATTAAAAAAAAAATTCAGTGTAGCTTTCAAATATTGTTCTGTTAAATAAACATTCTATTAAAAAAGAAATAGAATCTTACATTTACTTACATTTTAAGACTTTTAAAGCACAGATCATATATATATATAATTTTTTTCATTGTCAAACATTGACATTTCAGATTCAGTCCCACATTTTAATATGGTTGTCACTTTTGAAACGTACTTAGCAGCATGAAAAATAAACCTTTCATTTAAATTATGAATGTGTTATATACAGAAAGTGACCAAAGAGCCCTGCCTTTATAATCAATGAGGCTGGTTTCATTTCAGTTCAGCTACTCTTGTTATTAAAAAAAACTGTATATATTGCACAGTAAAGAAGAACAGGGAAATAAGCTAAAACTGTTTCTCTCTTACATTACTGACACCTGTCAATATATCTGTAATAAATATTGATTATTGTCAGGCTTAATGATAATTTTAACATGTTTAATTAGTTTAATCTTCGTCGCTGTTTTAATGTTTCTATATAATTATCACAATCATAAACAGGAAAGCAAAATCCTGCATACATGACAATAATCACTCAAATACACAAACATACAAGCTACTTGCATGTGTAAACATGTAAAAATAAGAAAGAAATAATAAGATCCTGATGGATGAGTGCTTATCTTACAGTTTATCTTAAAGAATGCAAGAGTTGTCAATCCAATCCAAGTGTGCTCCCTGTAAAACAGTCCCTAATTAGACTGTACTGTTTTTTTAATATATATATATATATATATATATATATATATACTTATCCCTACCCACTATACCCACCCACCATCCATGTTGTGTTTGACCCTTTAATAAGTCAATTTGTGTTTATATTAGACAAGACTAACCTCAGTTGCTATCTGTTTGCTAACATTATCAGCAGTGTTATTGAGTTTAATCTCTGATAAACTGTTTCTGTTTGTTCTGCAGGAGTGTTTTATGCTAAAACAGATGAAGTGAAGTCAGTGATGGAGGGAGAGTCTGTCACTCTAAACCCTGATCTTTCTAAAATACAGGGATTTATTGAGATACTGTGGCGGTTTGGAGATAAAGGTTCCACCATTGCTCAAATTGATGGAAATAAAACCTCATATGAAGATTATGAGGTATTTAGAGGCAGACTGCAGCTGAACCAGACTGGATCTCTCACCATCACAAACGTCAGAACCAATCACTCTGGATTTTATAAAGCAGAAATCAGCCACAACACTGGAACCTCAGATCAGAAATTCAGTGTTACTGTCTATGGTGAGGATATAATTATTTTTGAATAAGATGTTTTGAAGTTTCTTGTTGTTTTATTCAGCTTTACTAAATTGAGATTTAAAGTGCAGCCAGCAAATATATATAGAAGTATTACAGAATTGTAGTTTCACAATATTGTGCTGTTGTTCTGAATATCATCACTGTGATTGGGCCCCAGGTGATCACATGACTGATATTCAGCACGACAGCATGATGTGGAGTGTGATACTGCTTGAATACTACAGTTTTAGAAATAAATTCACATTGAGTGATATTTTACACACAATTGTCACTTACCGGTTAAAGCAGGGATGAGGTAAAGGATATAAGTGCAACAGTACAAAGTTTTTATTAAACAAAGAGCCAAAAAACACTCATGGTGCAAGAAAAGAACAAATAGGGTATAATGCAATGAGAGCAGACCAAGAACTAATAGAAACACAGGGCTTAAATACTCAACCAATCCAATAACTGAAATGAGACACAGGTCACACAACTCAATTAATCAGTGCAAAACCGTCTGAAACACTGAACACAGACAAAGGAAACTGATCTAGAAACAGGGAAAAGCAAATCACAAACACAGAAGACAAGTTAATACAAACATATGGCCAGATAGTTTTAGTTTAATTCCACTGGTATTAGTATTGAAATAATTCAAAGCTGGATCAATTGTTGTATAGAATTACAAATAGTAATTCAATCTGTTGAACACGGACAAGTGCAATGATTCATATAGTGAAATGTTCCTGTGCTGTTACATGAAATAAGACGACTCATCAAAATAACTTGTTCATCTCAAACAGAATACGTTTATTAACCTACATATGCCTTGTTGTGACAAACCTTTGTCTACAGTGAAGACAGACAGGAGCTTTGTTTTACTCATGCTCAATCAACACATGTAATCACTAAATGTTACTCATGCTCAATCAACACATGTAATCACTAAATGTTAATGCTTCTTTCTGAAGTCTATTTTCAACAAAACACATGCAAAACTGGTCAAATAAGGTATGAAAATATAGTCCATCAGTTTGTTTACATCCTTGAGTGTGTGAGCACGTCAATGAGGGTTTCCGCTTCTTGCCATCAATGTTATTGGTCTGTGCTGTTCATTAACTTTATTGCGCACATGTGCATTTGCCCCTCTTTAACCTGTATAGGGAGCAAACTGAATCAACACACAAATATGAGGGGCCGTACAAGCCATAATTCATTCTGGCACTCTCACACACATACATTCTCCTTTCACATACATATATTTT